ACATCATGGAGTAGACGAACCAAATAAAAGATGACAATACATTGAAACTATGCAGTTTACAGCATTGTGCGTTATATGATCACAGAGTATAAAGCTTTCCACGGCGATTGTTGTCTTTATCACCGTGGCAGTTACACGAAGGACGATTTGGTGTAGTAGGTCCACTTGTATGTAGACACATAACCTTTTAATTTTAATAAGATCTCACGAGGGTACAACCGATGAGTCATTCATATTTCAGTGCCAGAGTCAATAGCCGCCGTCGGAAGGTAAAGTTTGTATTTACTAGAGTTTGTTATACATTGACGCTCTATGGTTTTATTCCTCCGAAGTGATGAATCTTATCAGTAATGATATTTTTATGAATAAAATGAAATAAGCTGGTACGTAGGGAGGGATCCTTTATGATAATGTCTATTTGTATATTTTTGCTTTGGAAATGTTTTTTTCTGTCATGACTATAGATTTGATAACTCATTCCTGCTGAACCTTTGCAAAACAAGCAACATTGCTCTAATTGTAAAAACGCAATGGTGCAAGACCACGTTTCGAAGCCTGGCATCCGATCATAACTATATCGCTCTAACCAAATCAGTTGTCTGGTCAACGGTAATACATTTGCCAAATCAATTAACACGTGTGAGAAAAGCTCTGTAACTCTGAATTATTTATATTTATATATCAGCATAACAAAATAATTTATCCGCATGGAAAAATAAAACCAATTTGCAGTACTGTTTAAGATTAGACAAATACAGATCATGAGGAAGATATGTGAAAGAGTTCAAAAAGTAGACCCTTACAGTATCAGGTTGCGCAGACGAAGGAGACTCCTAAATATCTAAATCTATCAAACACATTGTTATCGCTTACCTGTAACATTATCACTTAACAAGGAAGAACAAATTTTCCACATCTCCAACGTCAGTTAAAACGCAAAGATAATTATGAAGTATAAGACCTAAATTTTGTGTTTCTTTTTAAAACAGCTGTACAAAAACAGGAATACCTGATGTGCGACAAACATATGTACATAATTACAAATCTTTATTTCTTCCTTCTATAAAGGAACAATCATTGATTGATGGTATCAATATAGGTATAACCTACATATTAAGAGAGTAATGTGTATGATGTCGTTAATTAAGGAATCGACAACCCATTAGGGCTGTTACAACGCTATACTCACGAAATCTCTCTTGATGATATAATATAAACCATATTTTATCCCTGTATACGAATCCAAAATACATCCACCTTTATTCAGAATAAGATGAATATTAAGATAATCTAAATAGAATAACTTTGTTTTCACCAGGTGTCGATCGTGAACGCCCGATAAGATGTGTTTATTAGCAGGTTGGTTTATCTAGTAAATGGGATGAATGATGTATGATTAACGATATCGTGTCAGAGCTACAAGAATGCATATTCTGATGATATCAGACTGGTTAATTACAAACACATTAGAAACATAGGTAGGCATGTGGAGTAATTATTACACAATGTGATGTGTCGGCACATATTAATCATATATAAATGATATCATGTCTGTGTTACACAATAAGTTATCATAATAGCGCATAGATACATTATCAATGGTGCGCAGTAGTGACGGTGTTATCATGTACCATCTTTTCCAGTAGTTTGATATTTTCTCAATGTCTGCTCTTTATCGAAGTCTATTTTGTGGATATGGCCTTCAGTAGTTTTGTTTAATGATTTATCCGCGCATGCATTTGTTTGTATAGTTACATTTTTAAATAGAATAATAATATTGAGGAGAAAAGATTGCTTTCATATTCCTATGCACTGTACGGCGTGTCTAAGCAATGCTGCATTTTTAATACTTAAATTATTTGAATGGGAATATTAAACAGAAAATTATAGTTGATAGCTATCTTATCAAATTATTATTTTAGACCAATGGCGATTACTTTCTGAAATCAGAAGACACATTTTCCTGAATATAATAGTTCATCCTTTGTATTGTATTACATTAACACTTTTTCAAACAGAATCCAGTGTCTGTCATTAACCACGGCAGTATTGATTACGTTTGGAATTATCATGAGACTATAACACAAACAGAACGTTGTGGGAAAAGATTTCATTGACATGATGGTAATTATCATTTTTGATTTTAGCAGTCATGGTCTTATCAAGGTATATTAGGATTAAACATACGACCAAATACCATACTGGATTGTTACATACAGTAGGTACATGTTATATCGGATATCCAACTTTGTCAACAGGACTCATACCTTAGTATCCGGTTTGCTGTTAGATTTTGTTCCCCGGTTTCTACTGAAGAAGCTTAAAACTAAGTCGTGATATTTTCTAACTTTACAATTGCAGTGCCTACATTGTGTAACGTCGTGGAGTGTGTTTCCAGTGTTAGTGTATACTTTTTGATCAAAGGTATATTCTGGTTACTCCATCTTGGATCCGTCTGGTCCTGGCTCTTGGCTCCTTTGGTTGTTCTGTTAACTACTCTACTCCAACAACAACTCGAGACAGAAATACAATTTAACTTTGATATTTATTCAAATCCCAACTTCATATCTTCAAACACTGTACACAATGGCATCCTTAATTAATATATAATAGAAATTGAGAATAACGACGGAGTGCCGTTATAAATAAAAGTGATGAGTAAGTATCCTTAATGGATACTTAAAAAATAGTAAGGGCTAAGTATCCTTAATATATTGTAACAACTTCGGACGTGGATGTACCGAAGTAGGTTTTAATATTAGAAAATGTTTTATCTAAGACCTTTCATAAATAATGAACATTAATGTATGTCTAAGTAAACTATACTAGTCCAAAATAGCTAAGTATCACACCCGTGGTTAGGCGGACTTAGAATATATTTTGGTGTTATTCCTGGCGTATCATAACATAAGGTCATTAAGGAGACTTGTATCTATATATAGTGTATTGGAGACGGGAGACGGTAGGCCTACTTAGTCACTACGGTAGTAGTTACCTCCATGGTTCTGGTGTTTAGCTGGACTCTGGAAAAGCTTGGTTGCTTGGACTGTGTAGGAGGGTATGAAAGCCTGGCCGCTTGGTTAGGAGATCATGGGCGAACTCCGTTGAATCTGCCGCGGGATCCAACTTTTATACCCTTCTCCAAAACTTCTGACCAATCAGAATTTAGTATATTCGGGTCTCTCGGCACAGAACACTATAACTAAATAACTCACTAAAGCCCGAGAGCTCCGAACGCACATCTGCAATGGCGGATGAGTCGTCTGTTTGACAGGCTTCGCATAGCATAAACATGGATTATAACCAAAATACAACAAATCATGAGTGACAACATTACAACCTATAAAGAGAATGTTCTCAACATACTAGGCTGTTGTATCTACGAGTCGGTAAGTGATTATTTCAGCCGTACGGAACAGAAACATGCGAGTCCATGTGAGAGCATGATTCTAAATATAGCGCACGACTGACGTAAACACATCACCGACTCGATGATTCTAAACTTGTAAACACGAACTGTTTCAATTGAGACAATATTAAATGGTATCATAATTAGATAATTTGTAACTAAAAGACATTTACTATACAGGTTGATTATGATAATAAATGTAGTAGACAAATAACGAAGTTATTTATCAATACACAGACTATAGCAGGTAGGCAAAAGTACAGTCGTTACAATTGATAAGGATTTTTTTCATGATTTTACGAGATACTTCAATGTGGGGTTTCATGATAGCTTTCGTTTTGATGATTTATCTCAGACATTGTTTTTAATCTGACCTTTCCTATCCGAAGGGCAAATGAATTTACACCATTGTGCGACGTCCGCCGTGCGTCCGGATGCAACGTTTTATTCAACGACTTTTCAATAACCAGCAGCCTTGGGGTCATGATGCATGTATTTGGTCAATAGCATGTATGGATGATGTTCTATTATGTCTATTCAATGTCTTTAGCATTCCATTTTAATGTCAAGTTTCTTGAACACTTTGTACGGTTTCCTCTGAATTACCAATATTTCTAAGGTTGTAATGTTTTCAAGCAGCATACTAGGATAATTTGCAGGGTCACATAGCTTATCACGTGATTCAATTTCATAAGGACTCGTCGTGATCGTAAGGTTAAAGTGTTTATTTGTAATTCATGTTTTCAAGATCTTTATGTGCCATTATTATATTTCTTCTGAGATCATGTGTCATTGTGTTCATGCATATTACTAGCATCATGCAACAGAGGTCTAGAACCTGCTGTAATGTTGACGGACTACAGTAGATATACATACACACTATATGTCGTATCAATGATTTTTTTATGTAGTTCAGGACAGGATAAAAAATGTTGGGTTGTTCTTGACTTTTTTTTCTACTTTTCACGTGTCCCCTTTACAGTTAGCTAATTAACCAGTTTGTGATCTAATGCAGTGTTGAAACTGCAATCTAAAACAATGATATCATTTCCATTGGACTAGTTATCGAAATATGTCGGAAAATATTATTTTTAATACTATTTTTAACAGGAAACACTCATGTTACTACGCGGTATTGAATAAACATGTTTTTTCGCTGGTAATACAATAACATATTTTACATGCGTGATAAGTGTTCAAAAAACTCGACATCAAAATTACGTAATCGATTGTAAATTCGAATCCTCAATCGATTGTCGAGGGGGTATTGTTCTAAAATGTAGAGGTTCATTGACATGGGACATAGACTTTACACATCACGAAGCGCATACTTAAGTTACCATTGATTCGCTGAACCATCAAATACAAACGACTACACTGATTGAATACAAGTAATTAATTATGAAATTCTATACAAAATAATGAGATATGTTTGTATATGAAATATTATACTTCTGTAATACGACGAGCATTATTATAGTTTCTGAGGTAACCGATACTGTTGGGTGGAGGCCTGGTTCATCGTCAGTATGATATTAATTGTGTAAAGCTTGTTTGGTCCTCCATAGTTTTGTGTTTAATTAATTATCAGATATGGAACATACCAAGGATCGATGTGACCAAAAAGAACAACCGTCGACCTCGGACCTGATTGTGTTAGTTGTGGAAATATGAAGGTAGTAGTGAAATTCATGCAATGTTTCGTCGTCCTTACGACACTGTACCAGCTCCTGGAGGCAAACCATTCAGTAAACCAGAAGAATCATACACGGTAAGAGCGTTCTACCATGCACATTCAAGTTTTATATCGGATACTTGTCGAGAATATACTGTAGTCTGTTTAATCAAACCTGCATCCATTTTTATAGGATCAAAAATCAACAAATGAATTATCCGTGTATAATGTATAAATTATGTCAGTGTCAATTCTATTACCTGTTTCAGTGTAAAGAATGGCAAAACTTTCAGTGTATTATGTATCACGTATATCAGTATATAGTTTATTACATGTTTCAGTGTAATATGTATCACGTATATCAGTGTATAGTTTATTATATGATTCAGTGTAATATGGATCACGTATATCAGTGTATAGTTTATTATATGTTTTAGTGTAATATGTATCACGTATATCAGTGTATCGTTTAGTATATGTTTCAGTGTAATATGTATCACGTATATCGGCGTATAATTTATTATATGTTTCAGTGTAATATGTATCACGTATATCAGTGTAGAGTTTATTATATGTTTTAGTGTAATATGTATCACGTATATCAGTGTACAGTTTAGTATATGTTTCAGTGTAATATGTATCACGTATATCAGTGTATAGTTTATTATATGATTCAGTGTAATATGGATCACGTATATCAGTGTATAGTTTATTATATGTTTCAGTGTTATATGTATCACGTATATCAGCGTATGGTTTATTATATGTTTCAGTGTAATATGTATCACATATATCAGCGTATAATTTATTATATGTTTCAGTGTAATATGTATCACGGTTATCAATGTATAGTTTATTATATGTTTCAGTGTAATATGAATCACGTATATCAGTGTAGAGTTTATTATATGTTTTAGTGTAATATGTATCACGTATATCAGTGTATAGTTTGTTATATGTTTTAGTGTAATATGTATCACGTATATCAGTGTACAGTTTAGTATATGTTTCAGTGTAATATGTATCACGTATATCGGCGTATAATTTATTATATGTTTCAGTGTAATATGTATCACGTTTATCAGTGTATAGTCTATTATATGTTTCAGTGTAATATGTATCACGTATATCAGTGTATAGTTTGTTATATGTTTTAGTGTAATATGTATCACGTATGTCAGTGTATAGTCTATTATATGTTTCAGTGTTATATGTATCACGTATATCAGCGTATGGTTTATTATATGTTTCAGTGTAATATGTATCACGTATATCAGCGTATAATTTATTATATGTTTCAGTGTAATATGTATCACGTTTATCAATGTATAGTTTATTATATGTTTCAGTGTAATATGTATCACGTATATCAGCGTATAGTTTATTATATGTTTCAGAGTAATATGTATCACGTATATCAGTGTATAGTTTATTATATGTTTCAGTGTTATATGTATCACGTATATCAGTGTATAGTTTATTATATGTTTTACTGTAATATATCACGTATATCAGTGTATAGTTTATTATACGTTTCAGTGTAATATGTATCACGTATATCAGTGTATAGTTTATCATATGTTTCAGTGTAATATGTATCACGTATATCAGCGTATAGTTTATTATATGTTTCAGTGTAATATGGATTATGTATATTAGTGTATAGTTTATTATATTTTTCAGTGTAATATGTATCACGTATATCAGTGGAGAGTTTATTATATGTTTCAGTGTAATATGTACCACGTATATCAGTGTAGAGTTTATTATATGTCTCAGTGTAATATGTATCACGTATATCAGTGTATAGTTTATTATATGTTTCAGTGTAATATGGATCATGTATATTAGTGTATAGTTTATTATATTTTTCAGTGTAATATGTATCACGTATATTAGTGCATAGTTTATTATATGCTTCAGTGTAATATGGACCATGTATATTAGTGTATAGTTTATTATATGTTTTACTGTAATATGGATCATGTATATTAGTGTATAGTTTATTATATGTTTTACTGTAATATGGATCACGTATATCAGTGTATAGTGTATTATATGATTCAGTGTAATATGTATCACGTATATAAGCGTATAGTTTATTATATGTTTCAGTGTAATATGTGCATGTATTACGTATATCAGCGTATAGTTTAGTTTTTGTTTTACAGTAATATGGATCACGTATGTCAGTGTTTAGTTTATTATATGTTTCAGTGTAATATGTATCACGTATATCAGTGTATAGTTTATTATATGTTTCAGTGTAATATGTAGCACGTTTATCAGTATATAGTGTGTAATATGTTTCAGTCAAGTGTATAACGTAGTTAAGTTTTAATGTTTACTTTTTACATTTTTCAGTGTCGGTAGTTTATTCCAAAGTATAGTTTATAACATATTTAAGTTTTTATTTCATGACATATATCAATTTGTTGCATTTGTTTGATGGTTTGACAGACAGGATATACTCCGACAGCTATTAGATGACGGTACATATGACTCCAAAATATCCCCAGAATACGAGGAAGGTAAGAATTCATTAAAACTTGAACTCTTTATAAAACGCTGAAGTAGGTCAAGTCTAATACCTGCATTTTCTCTTCCTGTTGACAATTAAGGAAATAAGTACATTAATCAGTACCCGATTAAAAATCAGTAGAACATATATAACGCAACAAAATAGGGTTTTTTCTTTTGAAGAATATCAGTTTTTAACGCCGAATGATTCAATGTTTGCCGATATTGGTAGAATATGTTTGTTGAGTGATATCAACTTGTGAAAGTATGACGTCACAATAAACACAGAGCGAGGTATCAGAGCGATGAGTACAGACAGTATAACAAAGACTGATTTGTTATTGATCTTTCAAATCACAGATAATGATGCAAAGTTGCACGATCAAGATAAACGATGATCACATACATGGACAGAAAAACATGAAAGACATTTCCGCTATGAGTAACATGTTTACGACATATCAAATGGAACAAAAAAACTTGTCATCTTCCTCGAGGCTTTTTAAATAGGATGAAAACCCCACCAACAATGGATTTACAAAACAGAAATGTATGAATGCCGACACGAAAAGGGTTGTTTTACAGGGACACATTGACGACACGGTTGTTGTATAGGGTTTAACGTTCTATCAACAGCTAAGGCCATTTGAGGACTTGCCTCGATGTGTGTTGTGTATGCGTGCATGTGTGTATTTACCGAAAAAAAATCGGTGCTGAACGCATCCAGCACAGCATTCCGCACGGTCACATCATACTAACAACGAGTTGTTGCCATTACACTTGATGCTTAATATTTAGCAGGTAAAACAACTAACAATGTTAAGGACTTTAGCATGATCCGGCCTAATTACAGAACAATTGCTTTTTCAACTGAGCGAACGACCAACATTTAAGCCACAAGTGAGATATTGCCAAGCAAGGCGCTAGGAAATAGGAGGAAGGTAGAAGTAGAGAAATGTAAAGATACCCAATTATGAATATTGCAATGGGTACAGCATATTTATTTTGGGCGCTTTTGTGTCCACAAGTAAAGGGCACAAACGCAAATCCCTTGTTCAGCATGAGGTTATTACATTAGTCGCCTCTTACGATACACATGCAGATGATGATACGGGCATATCTTGTTTATCAATGACAAAATGACGACACAGAAATAACTTATCAATGACAAAATGACGACACAGAAATAACTTATCAGAGACAAAATCAAGGACAAAATGACGACACCCACATAAGTTGTTTATCAGGGACAAAATGAAGACAAGGACATAGATTTTTTTTTATCACAGTCGTTTTCAGTGATAATATTTTGTATTTGGTCCTTTAAATAAACAATAATAATAACCTTCCGTTAAATTATACATTATTTTATCAACATTACGGATGCGTCGTTTGTCTTCAATGTTCAACCGATAAGTTCAATGGTAATTTAAGAACGGAAAGTTTGAAAATAGTCTGCCAATGTCTCAAGGCGCAGTCGAGTTTATCTTCTGATTCAAACCGGAGTATATGTATATATATAAGTATCTTTCATTGTTTGATACATCTGTTATAATGACACATGACGTGATTACTGTTAAAGTTTTTGTCACATTGTCTTTATATTAGACCATATTTTATGATATATATTTACTCGTTGTAAGTGACCTTTTGAAAACGTCTGTGAAATAAAGCTCTTTTTATAACCTTTATCACCATTTAAAAATGTGTCTGTTTTGATTGACAAATATCCCGATGTCTGTAAATATTCTTAATGACACTGTATGACTATTGAGCAAATGTGTCTGTTTTGATCGACAAATATCCCGATTGTAAGTATTCTTAATTACACTGTACGACTATTAAGCAAATGTGTCTGTTTTGATTGACAAATATCCCGATGTCTGTAAGTAATCTTAATTACACTGTCCGACTATTAAGCAAATGTGTCTGTTTTGATTGACAGATACTCCAACGTCTGTGACCATACAGATATATGTAATGAGCATCGACTCGCTGAATGAAGCATCTATGGTAAATACCATTATCATTTTAATTGAAACTGTTAATCAAGTATCCACGTGCACGTGCATTATGTGTTATCAATGGATTTAATACAATAAGTGTCACAGGAAACAAGTTAAATGAAAACAGAATATATGACGGTGTCAAAACACAGGGACAAAATATAACTCATGGTCAAAACATAGGGACAAAATATACCATATTGTCAACATATAAGGGCAAACTATACCATATTGGCAACACATAAGGACAAAATCACATTTTTAGCACACAAGGACAGAATAAAAAAGATCTACAACACACATGTTTGTATTTTACGCTTACATCTAGTGTTCTTTTAACTTCTGAGAATATGAAAACGTCAAAGGCACGTAAAATTGTAAATATTTTAATAGTTAGGAAAGAATGAATTTAATTTGATTTTCTATTCAATAAGAGCGAAGTGGGGTAATAGGAAATCATGATGTTACAGATACATTCTTAGTCTAAAATCAGTAAATCAATACATTGTTTCATAAATCAGGAAAACGTTTAATAATCGATGACGTGTCACATCAATGCTACATTTTACAAACACACTGCCATTTGCTATAACACAACATAGTTACATGTAGGAAATAATGTATATTAAATAACATTGTTCAAAGGACTACACAGTGACTATATTCCTACGCCAGAAGTGGGTAGATACTCGCTTGAAGTACACGCCAGTACCGGGGATTAATATGTTAGAACTGGACAATCGTCTGATAGACCAGGTCTGGGTACCGGATACATTTTTCGCTAACGAGAAATCAGCTAGCTTCCATTATGTAACAGTACCTAACAAATTGATGCACCTTTACGCAAACGGGACCGTGTTTTACAGCGTCAGGTAAGTACTTCATGTTTATCAGATCACTCTCGATTACGGTAGTGGTTTTTGCAAAATTTATGGAGGAATGTATGCGTTTTAGGTAGTTGGAAATCAATCCTTATTTGCTTTCAGAACAAATAAATAATTGCAGATAATATATCCGGTTAACCTATTTCCAAAAACAAAATCATTTCGATACATATTGTTCCCAAAGCTTATCGAGAACTTTGCTTATTATGGAAACCTTACTTACCCCCACCACCACAACAACAGAGTGCTACCAATGCTGATGGAGTTGTCCTTGGTTCAACAGTCCCTACAGGGAGTCCATGACATCGTCCGTACTTGAGATAACAATGTGAATATGTAAATATGTACCGTTCACTGAATAGTGTTCATGAATATGAAACATGCTTAATGTAATTATTGATCTAAAATTGCCTTACAGAGTTTCCATGACTTTGTCATGCGACATGAATCTGTTGGCCTATCCATTGGATTCTCAGAAATGCCATATCGCCTTGGAGAGTTGTAAGTCCAAACTATGCATAAACACGTATATTAATTTAAGCATTGAACTAATTTTGTAAGGCATGTATTATCTATTTGAATGACAAAGCTTTAATTGCTCGCATCAACATAATGCGCGCTAGCGCAGTATAATTTGTTTGCTTGCAAAGGTGTGTCGTGCAATGAGATAAAAAATGCCAAAACAAAGACATTTATATGTTATATTTCCGTTTTTCCGCCTTTCGTGTGTATTTTTTAACTTTCAAATTATATTTGAAATATAAAATTCCCGCCTTATCGACATTCTGATGAAATTTGTTCAATAACTGGAACAGCGTATAGTCGCGTGATGATTGTTCAAGAATTGTGTCTCGTGGTGCATCTTATTTCGACACAGCTTTTAAGTAAATATCTTGCACAATGCCAGGAAATGTAAATGTAACAATATAAACTACATGCCTATTTGTTATCAGCGAATGTGTTTTTTTCTGTATAACTTAGTTTGTGAGATTTGAAATGTACTAGGTTCTAATTGTTGCAGATTCTTCTAAATGGAATGTTAATCTTAACAGAAGTAGTTACCATAACATTAAACTATAAAATACTACGTTTATGTCGACCTGCATAAGCTTTATAAACCACTTTTGCAAAAAGCATTAACATATAACATCAATGTAATACTACTAATACTACTAGATTATGGAAGATACAGGAAGATAATAACTCATCACAAGTTGTCCTTGTTTTCTACAGACAGTTACACTACAGACAATGTGGTGTTCGAGTGGCACCCCTTCCAGGCATTAGAGATACAAACAGACCGGCTTCTTCCTCAGTTTTACTTTTCTGGAATACCAACGGTAAAGGACAGCTGTCAAAAAAACTACGGGGAAAGTAAGTTTACAAATTAGTAAAACCTCATAGCATTTTTAAATCCCTCTTTCACATTTTTGTTGCAAAAAGGCTAATAAGGATATACGGATAAGTACCCTGCCTTTGCGAGTGTAATCAACACGTCCACTTAGCAGTTTGACCAAGTGTAGACTACAACGAGTGACGTTATGCAGTGATGCTCATCACCTTTGGACGAATCGACGCACGACAATCACAGAGCATATTTAGTTAGCGCGGTCATGATATATGACTTTTCGTGCATCTTTAAATTTTCAAACATATTGATGACGTTTTCATATTTTCCGGAAACGACTGATAAATACATTCGTTTCTTCAGAGCTACAACCAAAACTATTTAACCAAAGAAAGCATATGTTTAAAAGCTGTCCATCAGTCATGAGGTCGTGTCCTTAAGCAAGACATTATACCCTAGTTTCTCAACTCCTCTTGTGCACAGTTGGGGTAATATGGTCTTGGTTAGGTATTACCATTTCAGTGCTATGTAATTCAAGTTGCAACACAGTATAAACGTTGGTTATAAGAGTTTTTTTCATCTTGAGATCCACCTGCACAGATATACACACTCAAGCCAGTTAATACTTTTTCTCAATTTCCTTAAAATTGAATAGAGTGCTCCATAAAAGCATGGCAATACAAAATAACATTTTTTACTTTTTGTTTATCCGTAGTATCATCCTAGCCTTGTTTGTGTATAAAGTTTCTGAATAAAGGCGTCTTGTGACCAATACACTTTATATCGATGATAACCTACCTTAGGGACTTCAATTTACGTAAAATGATGTACGATTGTCATCAAGGCCTTATCTACTTATGCGCCTGTGTTATTGCAGTGTCTCCAATGAATAAAGTCAGGTTCACTCTGACTTTGACTGTTATTGACCAAAATACTGACCTGGATTTGACTAAAGCCACAATGCAAGATGTCATATGTGGTGCTGAAAACGTGTATCCATTTTGAGAATATATCCTTGTCTATGTTTATGTTTGAATTCATGAGGTATCTCGTTTCCTTATTCTGTCGTCTTCAGTGTCGTCGGTTTAAATCCAATTTCATTTATATATATATATATATATTTGCGTTTTTGTTTTCTCTTTGACAAGGCGGGAACTTCTCTTGTCTGGAGGTCACACTTCATCTCACTAGGAACACCGGCTATTATATTGCACAAATCTTCATCCCAAGTATCCTCATCGTCATGTTGTCCTGGGTCTCGTTTTGGGTGGACGCGGAGGCTACGCCTGCTCGAATCTCCTTGGGTGTCCTAACAGTTCTAACCATAACGACGCAAGGTTCCGGTGCACGCTCCACTCTTCCACGCGTGTCTTACATCAAGGCTATTGACATATGGATGGCTACTTGTCTCATGTTTGTGTTCGCCTCCCTCCTAGAGTTTGCTTACATCAATGTTCTGTCACGTAAACGTCGCTCCAAACTACTACCGTCTTTAGGCATTGGTCCTGATGGGATGTTAAACACTCAGGTTTGTGTTTGATACTTTGATATATATTTCTATCATTTATAAAGCTTTGTGTGTTTATTTTCTGCAATATTTCTCAACGTAATTAACATTTGTTATGTAAGTGTTTTTAGAATATTCCACTCACTTTATATGACGAGTAAAATATTAACTAAATCTATAAAGCATTACAAAAAACAACAGCGCCATTGACATGGGACACAATGGAGGCTATATAGGCCGATGGCAAAACTAGATGCTTAGTAATTATAATCATTTCCAGGATAGATTGTCAACAATGTCAAGGCCTTTTGTGAAGTCCGTGACTGTATATCGGTCACAACGATCGAAGACGTAATAATTTGGTGTTGAATAACGACAAATAGGCAAACATGAAATTATGTTATGATGACAACCGTGAAAACTTAATCCGGTTAAAGCCTTTCAGACACACAAGGTGTTCTGGAAGGGTTAGCATCTTCTGCTTCATCGTAAATATCGACTTGGAAATCATTTCGATATTACGTCCTCACATCGAGAACTCGGGTATTGACAATACAACTTGTCTATAGTCTTCATCAGCCTGCGTATTTGAAAGCCATATGTTATATGTATATGTTATATACAGTTTGTCGTCAAATATGACCACATATTTGACGTATTTTCTTTCCGTACCGATTCAGCGAAATCAAGATGTGGTTTAAAAATCATGGTTGCTGAAGTACTATAACTAAAACATCGCTATGACACGAATCCTTACAAAACCATAAGGCATGCAACTTAGTCCTTCAATATAGGAGGAAAGGTAGTTATCATGATGTTAATATAGTTAGGGAGCTTATTTAAATACACAACTCATTCATATTTTGAAGTAAAATATATGTTTCTTTTTTTTGTCATGACAGGCAATGAACGGCAACGGTAAAAACGATATGAAGCGGGAATCGAGCGCTGAGCAGGTCACCTTTACAGATAAAGCACGAATGGTGGATAAAGTGTCGAGAGTTATCTTCCCTTGCGCGTTTGCGCTCTTCAATCTTGTATTTTGGTCATATTTCCTTACCAACTCAGAATAAAACTCAGCCCCTCACAACAGCGATAAACATTCGAACCATTACAACAGATTTTGGAAGATCTATGCCGTCACACTTAATTAGCAGTGATCAGATCCCACTGTCATTACTTTGCTTGGTTAAGAGGAAGTCACTTTATATAGGACACAATGTTATGGACGAGAACAATCAAGGTTCTTAGCTGATGTGTTTAAAACAATTAAGTGTTTGGAGTCGAAATTTGTGCATGGTTTTGCAGATAACATTGTCCGGACAATATTGTAAAACTTCATTAATATATTGTTAAGAAAACCGTTTTTTAAACACATTTTATGTTGTTAACGTTTTTTTTCCATTTGTTATCTAATAGCGAACACAGCCTTGGTTTAGCTGATGATCTACACCTTTTACTGGTGTTACAGACTCATTTCATCATCAAGTTATTCGTTGAGATGATATTTATTAGCCTTGTATGAAGATGTCATTAACAGTTATGTTCTTATGTTTTATTGTAATATAAATGCTGTGTGTTTGATTGTCTGGTATAATTATGATAGGAACGAACATGCCTCAATCAAAAGTACATTAAGGAAAGATGTACATGTATGGTAACAATGGATGAATCCATTGTCTAGAATATATATAGATTATTGCCAAAGAGTAAATATTGATATTTTCATTTCGGAGTGACTAGTTCCCTCTACTTAAAACATTCCAATTTGCTCTCCATTTTTTGTACGTATGAACACTGAAGGAAAACTTCTATGCGAATTTGATTCTCACAATATTTATCAGTGTCCCAAACTCTCTGATAAAACGTTTACCGTAGGTTAGAAACAGTCGGTGGCTGTGCTGATGGCAAACTTCAATATCACGTCTACAGTTTATAAATCTCACAATGTTTACTAGAATCAATAGAAATGCTAAGAAAGGAAGCAACTTTTTGTAGATTTTCTTTGTAGAAACGAAAAGCCTAACAGAGTAAAAAAAAAAATCTACATCAATGTCCATTTCGTCCATTTATAACTCATCAATGGTTCGTAACGTCAAAATATTGACGACTCAATGCCAAAAGGGTTCCGAATCTTATACAAACTTCAGCGAAAAGGAAGATCTGCTTTAAAATCCTTCAAAACGTTACATACTAACAATGTTAGGCTAAATAAGATATTCCAGTCATTGGAGAGACGACATCAATAGACTGTCATTAAATGTTTCCTTGTATCTGCATTTGAAAGCATCATTTTCAATGTTTTGAATCTCTTTAGTTAAGAGCATCGGTTTATCAACCAGCCTTTCGAAGAGAGCAGATTTCTGCACAGATAACTAAAAATGTGAAAATGAGGATGGGTAGTTTTGAAATTGGTTCATAGACATAATTCTCAGGAAATCCATTTCATTTTTTTTTTACAGTTTCTCAATTTCTTGATCATATTGTAATAGGGGTTTGGTACTAGCTCCCATCTTATTCTCCTACTTGTTTAGATAAGCGTTAGCATTTTATATTTTATATTTTACCAATAAAACCTTGTACATTGTTCTTTATATAGTGATTTTTGTTCGGGTTTGCTACGTACGGTGCCGGGAGAATGCCTATAAAGGTAGTCATGTTTATACGTGATACTTTATTCATTTTTATGTTATTATACATTTTTATTAAACATATGATATTTTGCTATAACTAAATAGTTGTTATTTTGTGTAAACGCGTACATTATGCATCTCCACTTATGACGAGAATTACAAGAATATTAAATTATAAATATACACCTAACAATCTATGGTTGCCTTGGGCAGATGACCGTGGAGTTTATATTTTGAATGACAAGACAGAAATACCCTTATGCTCTCCTGAAATCCATCAATGTCATTTATTTGAGACAACTTGCTTGCATTATAAAACAGAATAAAAGCTTTTTCATCAATACTCCAGGATTTATAGATCTTAGAGGATGATGATGCCAGACGACAGATGGACGATGCACCCCCCGCCCCCTCCCNCTAAAATGGCCCTTTTTTTTCATTCTGGCTCTATTATTTTTCAATATCATGATTATTCTTTTAGAAAATCAGGTTCCATTTGTAACTCTCAAAGTTGAACTGTCACGCCAGGTAGTTTTCTGTAGCATGAGGTTATCTTAAAAAGGACGTCATATCACTGAAATCTTTATATCCTCATACAGTGTGCACCTCTACCGTTCCTGCTGTAAGTGATTGACATACTGATAAAGCCACAAATTGTATACTGACCTGAGACATTGTTACGTTTATGATAAGACTCGGTGTCCTTACTGTGTCTGATTGACAAGACATTTTTTTTGTTTTTGTTTTTGTACATGTTTAAGTGCCATACTTGAGTCTGTTTACTCTGGTGTACGCCGGTGTGCATGTGATAACAACATGTAACGACATTATCAGGCTTGTGCTTTAACAAAGTCAAGCGCTTTGGAGCATTGTAAACATATAATACATTCATAATGTCTTTATAAAATAAAAACAAAATATATAGAACTTTATATTAATATTTTCTCTCAATTTTATAGATGTTAGTATAACTCGCGGGACAATTGAACCCTTTTAAAGTTAGTAAATGTCATTTTACGTCAATAAAACGCAGACCATTATATTGATTTAAATATGAAATTGCTATTTATGTTATGATTATTGAAAATAACAATACTGTGGAGTAAATAATTCTACCATTTAGAAATAAAAGCATAGGTGCTAGGATTTAAAGGGAATCATCGATACTTTTAGACAATATGAAAATCATCATGAACATTACTATTTGCTAATATGCATAAACAACAAGTACGATGGAAACTTACCCAAAGGGCTTCAAAGCTCACATGTTGTTTAATAGTGTTTGTAGACACATTCGACTCTTCGATGTTCAGAGTAAAAAGTAAGAAAGCTTTCAGTACAAGCCACATGTCATTTCCTTACAACTAATGGAACTTTCTTTGATTTGCTTTACACATCTTATTCCTGCGATCTTCAAAGTATGTCTAGCCTTTGGGCATTAATTTCAACAAACTTGATATTCCTCCATCACACAAGCTATACAGCATGTAGGAAATTTGAAAGAAGTTGTTTTAAGATGTAAAAACCTTTGAAATTCAAAACGTGCCACAGTAGTTTTCTTGTACAACTGGTTTAGCCCTTCATTGAAACAAGTTTCCGGCCAAATAAAATTCTTAAGACTGAAAACTTCTTCAAAAATACGATCATAAGATTGATCCTATTTGTTTCATTTGACGTTGAAGTTACATTGTAGGCCAAGGTAACTTATGGCAAAAGATGAACCAGATTCATTATACAGAATGTATTCAGAACTCAATATCATATCCGTGATGACTTAATATCATGGATATCCCGGGGTTCGATGTTAACCCCACTTCGTCATACCTTACCAACCCATATATGTCCCAAAGAACTTTTCTCGCATCCTGAGAGTATAATTTGATACAAAATTAATTCATGCTTGCCGATCCTAAGGTGCCGACTGTAAAGTTATAAAAGGAAATCACGAACGGTGTGACCAAAGCTTTAGTTGTGCATTTCGCCACCTTATTTCGGCGAAGAAATGAAAAATTATCAACGATAAAATGTATGATGTCGTTGGATGTATTTAGCTTGATGATTTTGAAGTAAAACCAATTTTCATGATATAATACCTACCATAACTTTAGTATGCATATACAATACCTACACCCATCTTTGTAGCCCAAAAACAAAAGATTCAAATATCCCTACCTCCCTACAGTGATGTTACCCATATCTCGACGACAGAGCCACGAAGTGATCTGCCTTCCTCAAACCCCTTTTATGGAGCCTAAAGGCAATCGGGATGAGTAGGCAAGGGGAGGAATACAGAGTGGGACTCCATAAAGTTATGGTAAGTATTACATCATGGAAATTGCTTTTACTTCAAAAACCTCAATTTCATTTGAGTAATAATTACCATAACTTTAGTATGCGAATTCGTCTTACCGTAGTGGAGGCTTCGAATCCAGGCAGACCAGGCTGACGGAACAAACTCGAGACATGCTCAAGGTAGGGAAAAGGTTCAAGGAACCCCCCTAATAAAGCCCCGAAAGTAATTAAAAAATAGAAAACCGTGGCTATTTAAAATCACTGAATTACTGTGGAGGAACAGCCACAGACTGTGCAACCACCACCGATCCAAGGGAATACAATCTATCAGAATGAGAAGCCAAGGACCGGAGATAAAAATCCGTGAATGTAGTCTGTCCGCGCCAGAAAGCCGCGGACATGACCGCCTGAAAGGGGGACCCATTGAGGAGGGCCCATGACGCAGCAAGGGCCCTGATCTAACGAGCTCTCAACTTATACAACGCCCGAACCTGATCATCCAAGTGGTCGTAACCGTACCTGATGACCTGACAGATCCATCTAGACACTGACTGAGAGGAGATATCCTGCTGACCCTGCTAAATGGACAAAAACAGACGAGATCGAGGACCTCGATGACCCCTAAACAGCCAAAGAAGGAAGTCCGCAATCACCTGGACAGTAGCCTTGATCGGATCAACCTTCCTGCCGACACACCAATCACAGTAAATTTTCCATCGTGACTGGTAGACGGCAGATGAGGAAGACCTAATTGATCGAGCGGTGCGATCTGACACGTCCCTAGAAAAGCCTGCCTGAGCGAGGCCTCCTGAGATATCTTCCACGCATGAAGGTGGAGGATCTCCGGACGAGAGTGCATCGTCCTGGACCGAGGCTGGCGAAGGAAGTTCGCTCGCTCTTCACCAGAAGCGACAAAAGCTCCGGAAACCAAGGCTGCCTCAGGCACAGGGGCGCTATCAGGAGGAGGGAACACTGATGCTCCCGAAACTTCTGCAGCACCTAGCCCACCAGGTTGAAGGACGGGAATACATAGACATCCATTCCCTCCCAATCCAGAGACAGAGCGTCCACGGCCCAAGCCCTTGGATCTGGAACCGGAGAAACAAACGTTGGCAACTGATTGTTTAGTGAAGTGGCGAACAGGTCTATGTTTCTAAGGAGACCCTTACAGTATCAGGTTGAGCAGACTAAGGAGACCCTTACAGTATCAGGTTGCGCAGACTAAGGAGACCCTTACAGTATCAGGTTGAGCAAACTAAGTAGACCCTTACAGTATCTGGTTGAGCAGACTAAGTAGACCCTTACAGTATCAGGTTGAGCAGACTAAGGAGACCCTTACAGTATCAGGTTAAGCAGACTAAGGAGATTCTTAAATATTTAAAACTATCAAACACATTGTTTTCACTTACCTGTAACATTATCACTTAACAAGGAAGAACAAATTTCCCACATCTCCAACGTCAGTTAAAACGCAACGATAACTATGAAGTATAACATCTGAATTTTGTGTTTCCCTTTAAAACAGCTGTAAAAAACAGGAATATCTGATGTGCGACAAATATAATGTATATAACTACAAATCTTTATTTCTTCCTTCTATAAAGGAAAAAATAATAATGACTTTATTGATGGTATCAATATAGGTATAACCTACATATTAAGAGAGTAATGTGTATGATGTCTTTAATTGAGGAATCGACAAACCATTAGGGCTGTTACAACGCTATACTCACGAAATATCTCTTGATGATATAAACGATATTTTATCCCTGTATACAGAATAAGATAAATATTAAGATAATCTAAATAGAAATACTTTGTTTTCACCAGGTGTCGATCGTGAACGCCCGATAAGATGTGTTTATCAGCAGGTTGGTATATCTAGTAAATAGGCTGAATGATGTGTGATTAACGATATCGTGTCAGAGCTACAAGAATGCATATTCTGATGATATCAGACTGGTTAATTACAAACACATTAGAAACATAGGTAGGCATGTGGAGTAATTATTACACAATGTGATGTGTCGGCACATATTAATCATATATAAATGATATCATGTCTGTGTTACAAAATAAGTTATCATTATAGCGCACAGAGACATTATCAACGGTGCGCAGTAGTGACGGTGTTATCATGTACCATCTTTTCCAGTAGTTTGATATTTTCTCAATGTCTGCTCTTTATCGAAGTCTATTTTGTGGATATGGCCTTCAGTAGTTTTGTTTAATGATTTATCCGCGCATGCATTTGTTTGTATAGTAACATTTTAAAACAGAATAATAATATTGAGGAGAAAAGATTGCTTTCATATTCCTATGCACTGTACGGCGTGTCTAAGCAATGTTGCATTTTTAATACTTAAATTATTTGAATAGGAATATTAAACAAAAAATTATATTTGATAGCTATCTTATCAAATTATTATTTTGGACCAATGGCGATTACTTCCTGAAATCAGAAGACACATTTTCCTGAATAAAATATTTCATCCTTTGTATTGTATTACATTAACACTTTTTCAAACAGAATCCAGTGTCTGTCATTAACCACGGCAGTGTTGATTAAGTTTGGAATTATCATGAGACTATAACACAAACAACACGTTGTGGGAAAAGATTTCATTGACATGATGGTAATTATCATTTTTGATTTTGGCAGTCATTTCATTTCATCAAATTTTATTGACAAGATGCCATAATCAATTGGATTGAATAACAGGCAAAGCCTATATAAATTTTCTCCGTCAAATGACCAAAGTTGAATAAACAAGGAGACATAATATTTAAGACATGTTGCA